GAAGTTTCAGCTCAAAATACTTCACAGATCATTTATTATATCATTTTGAAAATGCCTATTTTGCGTGGAAGCAGAAACACGCTGTTTTTCGGGCCTGTCTCTTTAAATGCAAATGAGCTGCTGCTCCCCGCCCCCTTTTCCTGAATAGAGCTGCGCCATTACAGCTCGGACCTGCTAAAAACATCTGTTTTGGTTCTGATGATCATGTTTATCGCGCTGAAATCATGCGGTTTAAACCATACAAGTTTAAACTTCTGATATGTGGTTTTCTGAGAGCACACATCCGAAGCACACGCACAGTTAGCATGCTTTGCTCAAACTTTCACCATGGCATTAGAGCTGGTACACCGTTGTCGCTTGCGAAAACACAATAACGGCGCCGTGGGTGTAAACTTACAGATTAAGGGGCGGTAATATTATAATGAGATCCCTTTGCATCGTCACAGAGGGAGCGAGATCAGACGCGCTGGTTTTCTCAGACGCTTGCAGAAAAAGGCTTCCCAAAACAAAGTTACTGGGTTAATATTTTTCACGTTTCCTTGATTGGTAGATGCACCGGGGACCTGATTATAGCTCTTAAAACCTGGAAAAGTCAGATTTTCATGATATGTCACCTTTAAAGATTATAAAACGGAGAGTTCCGGTCCTTGATTCTGATTGGTTGAGCTGCATTCGAAGCTGTTGTAAATTACTCTACGAACATACACCTTTGTTTACGTTTGTCTGCAACCACTTTGTTGCAACCACAATGAGTTGACGTTCCTTTAGCGTAGGTATCTTCTCACTACGTTCTCATGTCACCAAAGCAGTAGTTCACCCAAAAATGTTTTTACATTTACTCACATCTTCTTTCAAATCTGTACGAGAAATATAGCGAATGTATAAGTGGCTGTTTTCCAGGCAATTACAATGAACAATGAAAAAAATGAATGCATAAAATAGACATTAAATAAGATAAAAATATATAATTGTAAATAAAATCTAAACATTTTAAGCTAGCTGACAAGGCAATATTTCTCATTTTCATTTAGTTTAACTTGATGCAATAAAATAACAAAACTGTATTCTATATGCACTATATTCTACACCTTCTGAAGGCATTTGATAACTTTGTGAGATGCGGAATGAAATTGAACTCACCGAAAATCTTGACATTGTTTTTGCATGGAAAATAGCCACTAGAACATTCAAATTTGTAATTAAAAGTAATTAATTTGGTTGATTTTTGGGTGAACTGTTCCTTTCATACTCAATTGATGTCATGTACCATTAACGCCAAGAATAACCAATGAAATTCCTTTATTTCTAACTAGCGACTGCCATTCACAGCTTCAGAGCGTCTGAGACGTGACAACGAAACACTCAGGAGATTTTCGCCATTCTGTCAAGCGGAAGTGCTTCAGCACCCAGAGATATAGGGACAATTGTCCAGCTGAGCGTTGTGTCTTTAAAGCGGCTTCACTTCCGTATTGAAGCAGGCCCTGACGGACGCTTTCACGCAGCAATGCTGGACTGCCCTAGCACGTTTGAACAAGCTTTTAAGAACGTTCCCTTCCTTTCCCCAGTCATTCATTTGGAAGAGCACATCATTTCCCTGGTGTCCTGAAGATGCAGTGGGTTTGTTTTCATTTGGGTGCAAATTTATTTCAGGTTTATGTTGCCAGAAGTGGGATTTATAATGGTGCTTATTAAAAGATTCAAAGTTTCATGGCTAAAATTGCTCTGTATACTTCGCAATCTCCCGTATTTCTCATTCCAAGGAGTGGGAATTTTAAAGTTCAGAACTTTTTCAATGACTGAACTGAAGTAAATATGCTGATTTGGGCCAGTTGTATGGTTGGTACAATAACCAAGACAGTTTTGATGACTGTTGTCTATGTTCATTTAAGAATATGATGTTGAAATGGTCTTATGCTGGCACATTTCATTAGCTTCTAGAAGCCGATTTATTTGAAGCTTTATTTTTTAAAGCCAGTTCTCAGACGAGCTAAAGGACCATAATTCATAGAAATCAAATACAATTACATGATTTTGCTGGTCATTCCCCAAAATGCATGTTTACCGTCGCATTACTGTACGCCAACCTGCTATGTGATGTCCACATCTGTCTGTTCATGTGTACAGTACTGACTTTTTTACTTTTCTACTCCACCGCACTGACATTTAAAATATTTTTTTTTATTGTGAAACTGTTCTCAAGTTTACAGTAATGGCTGGGATATTTAATTTTCAATTAAAACGAAATCTGTTTCCGTGTGGAAATGTCTTATGCACTTTGCTTTCTGACTGCTTGAAGACTCCTACTGTAATTTATGACTAAATTATTCTGTGTATTTCTCAAAAAAAAAAAAAGATGAAATAAAAAATAAAATAAAATAAAAATGTGTTTGTCAATGATCCCTGACTCTGATTTCCTAATTAGCATCTCAAATTAAAGGTTTTCAGTAGTTAGCTTTTCAGAAACGTTCTTGATTATGGTGATATTTAGTTTATTTTAAGACTTTTAATTAGATTTGGTGACATTCAAAAGACTACTAAGCCCAAAGTACTTCGGGTTTTACACGTACATTCCCAATCTGCAAGATGTCTGTTAAAGATCGCATCATCTGGAAAGCATCTGCTGTGTAAACATCTGACAAAGATGTCAGTTTTACATAGGCTACATTATTTAAATTACATTTACATTTAGTCATTTAGCAGACGCTTTTATCCAAAGCAACTTACAAATGAGGACAATAAAAGCAGTCAAAACTAACAAAAGAGCAACATCTTAAAGACATCTTCTAAACGTCTATTTGACATCTGACAGAAAACGTCCTATAGACGTATTGCAGATGAGCAAACAATCTAAAAAATACTTCTTGCAGATGTAAATATAGACATGAAATAGACGTCTCAGTGATGTACGTGTGCTATCCCTGTTGAAAAAACCGCATATGCTGGTTAAGGTATGTTTTGACGCTGGGATGCTGGTTTAAGAGTTAGCTTTTCAGAAACGTTCTTGATTATGGTGATATTTAGTTTATTTTAAGACTTTTAATTAGATTTGGTGACATTCAAAAGACTACTAAGCCCAAAGTACTTCGGGTTTTACACGTACATTCCCAATCTGCAAGATGTCTGTTAAAGATCGCATCATCTGGAAAGCATCTGCTGTGTAAACATCTGACAAAGATGTCAGTTTTACATAGGCTACATTATTTAAATTACATTTACATTTAGTCATTTAGCAGACGCTTTTATCCAAAGCAACTTACAAATGAGGACAATAAAAGCAGTCAAAACTAACAAAAGAGCAACATCTTAAAGACATCTTCTAAACGTCTATTTGACATCTGACAGAAAACGTCCTATAGACGTATTGCAGATGAGCAAACACTCTAAAAAATACTTCTTGCAGATGTAAATATAGACATGAAATAGACGTCTCAGTGATGTACGTGTGCTATCCCTGTTGAAAAAACCGCATATGCTGGTTAGGTATGTTTTGACGCTGGCATGACCAGCATAAACCAGCAAAGGATCAGCATAAACCAGCAAAGGACCAGCTTAAACCAGCAAAGGACTAGCATAAACCAGCAAAGGACCAGCTTAAACCAGCAAAGGACTAGCATAAACCAGCAAAGGACCAGCTTAAACCAGCAAAGGACTAGCATAAACCAGCAAAGGACCAGCTTAAACCAGCAAAGGACTAGCATAAACCAGCAAAGGACCAGCTTAAACCAGCAAAGGACTAGCATAAACCAGCAAAGGACCAGCTTAAACCAGCAAAGGACTAGCATAAACCAGCAAAGGACCAGCTTAAACCAGCAAAGGACTAGCATAAACCAGCAAAGGACCAGCTTAAACCAGCAAAGGACTAGCATAAACCAGCAAAGGACCAGCTTAAACCAGCAAAGGACTAGCATAAACCAGCAAAGGACCAGCTTAAACCAGCAAAGGACTAGCATAAACCAGCAAAGGACCAGCTTAAACCAGCAAAGGACTAGCATAAACCAGCAAAGGACCAGCTTAAACCAGCAAAGGACTAGCATAAACCAGCAAAGGACCAGCTTAAACCAGCAAAGGACTAGCATAAACCAGCAAAGGACCAGCTTAAACCAGCAAAGGACTAGCATAAACCAGCAAAGGACCAGCTTAAACCAGCAAAGGACTAGCATAAACCAGCAAAGGACCAGCTTAAACCAGCAAAGGACTAGCATAAACCAGCAAAGGACCAGCTTAAACCAGCAAAGGACTAGCATAAACCAGCAAAGGACCAGCTTAAACCAGCAAAGGACTAGCATAAACCAGCAAAGGACCAGCTTAAACCAGCAAAGGACTAGCATAAACCAGCAAAGGACCAGCTTAAACCAGCAAAGGACTAGCATAAACCAGCAAAGGACCAGCTTAAACCAGCAAAGGACTAGCATAAACCAGCAAAGGACCAGCTTAAACCAGCAAAGGACTAGCATAAACCAGCAAAGGACC